TATGACAATTAATGCACATATCAATTTTGTGATTGTATTTTTCTTTGGCAATTATTGACCAATAGATTATTTGTCTGATCACACTTACATTCATGTTTTAGCAATAGATATATTGATTATACGATTACTAACCAATTTAAATAGCATGTATATTTTCTATATATACGTGTATGAGCCTGTACTGTTACAAAAGTCAATCTTGTATTAACTTCAAATGATCTTTGTGATGGAGTTAGTCTAATGCAATTGAGATTAGAATATTCCTATTGGTGGACACTTGCAAATATCGATTATGATATATCCATTTATCCCCCGTTCCTCTATCCGAGTCGATATACCAATAGAAGTCTTGTACAGATAATGATGGCAATCAAATATCTTCATTTTTGTTAGCCTGCATTTTAGATTAGCATGCTAAAATTAACCTGCATAACTTACATATTTCAGCGTTTTTGCAGGCTAACAAAGCAGGTTAATTTTGCATACTAAAAAAGCAGGGCAATTTTGCAGGCTAATTGAGCAGGTTAAAATGATTTTGCAGGCTAAAATAAGCCTGCTTTTAAAATGTACAGGCTAAATTAAGCCTGCCTAATTTGCATATTTCGGCGTTTTTGCAGGTCAGTGCTTGCTAAGGAATTAGCCTGCTTTTTAGCAGCTATGCAGGCTTGATGCAGGCTATAAGCAGGCCTGCCTTTTCGGTAAGGGATCTTCTTGGACTTCAAGAAGGCATTTGATCGAGTACCACACCTTCTCCTGTCAACCAAACTTCAGTACTATGGAATAAGTGGTGACTCACTCCAGTGGATAATGTCTCTCCTCACTGATAGACAGCAGGCAGTCGTAGTTGATGGATCCAAATCAACATGGAGGGATGTAACATCTGGAGTCCCCCAGGGATCCGTCATCGGCCCTACCCTCTTCCTGTTGTATATCAACGATATCCAAGACAACATCCAGTCCACAATGCGTCTCTTCGCAGATGACAGCACCCTCTATCGTGAGATTCGATGCCCTGAGGACCATCAAATCCTAAAGGACGATCTCCAACAGCTGTCCAGGTGGTCTTCAAACTGGATGATGGACTTCAACGTGAAAAAGTGCGCTATCCTCACCATCACACGGAAGCGTACTCCCAGCATCCGAGAATACCACCTGTCAAATGGACTGATTCCGAGAGTGAAAGAGTACAAGTACCTTGGAGTAACGGTTGCTGCTGATCTCCGTTGGAACAAGCACTGCCAAACCATCCGGCATAAAGCAAGCCATACTCTAGGTCTCCTTCGCAGGACTCTCTCACCCTGTACCAGGGATGTAAAGTCCAGGGCCTACACAGCCTTAGTGCGCCCCCAATTGGAGTATGCCTCGGAGGCTTGGAACCCACACAGCGTCACGGTCACAAAAATGCTAGAGCAAGTACAAAGAACAGCGGCTCGCTTTGTGTACCGTGACTACAGATACACCACATCACCATCAGCTCTTGTGGCAGCTCTAGGGTGGGACACGCTTCACACACGTCGAATCCTCGACCAATGCACCCTTCTCTACAAGATCCATCACCGACTTGTCTCCATACCTGCACCAACTATTGTTATCCCCGCTACATACTTCGGAAGACATGACCACAACCTGAAGTATGTAATTCCTGTTGCAACTATCGACTCCTTCAAGTTCTCATACTACCCAAGAGCAATAAGGATCTGGAACCATCTGCCAGGCTCTGCAGTCAATGCAACAGGAATAACCAACTTCAAGGAGGCTGCTCTACCCTCCATCAGAACGATGCAGCCCCCCGTTGGTTCTCACATCATATAAGCTTACTAGCTTGGTTTTTACTTGCACTGGACTTAGCATATTTTACTGTAAATTGACAAGTGCTTTGTCCACACACCATTCCAGCAATTCATGACACTCCTTGTAGTCACTTGCCTCACCTACCATCCCAGTATAGCTTCCTGAGTGAGCTGCCAAAGGGATTACCCAACCAAGTACCAAGTACCAAGGAAGAAGAAAATAGATTATTCATAATTTATTTGCCTGTTCAAAGACATCATAGGCATTGAATGACACGAAATCTAAACCGAAGTGGTAGATCTAGTCAAAGTGATTTGAAGTTCTTGTAGAAAATGGAAGGACAACGTTACAAGGTGTCAGGTAAAGTTATAGTCAAGGTATTTTATGAAATGGGTCGTAAGTCGAAGGTTTCTTTTGGAATTATATCCAATGATCAATTCAATACACAGGTGCAGCTCAGCATTAGTCTACAGCTAGCAGCACAGCAGTCTCGACCCTGGCGGGCAGGGCAGGGCCGCCAGGGTGGCCAGGCTAGCCAGCCAACGTATGATTCTATGAAGGGGTGACCAAAGAGTTCGCGGACATTTTACATATTACAAAATGTGATATTCGATCTATGATTTCTCATATTCTACACAAATTTATTTATTTCAATTATTAACAAAATGGACGGCAAAGTTTTTTACTACAGATTGATGGAACTTTTATCGTCGAAGGATTTCGGAGATATCGCGATCTAAAAATTTGATGTTCGATCGTGCGTGCGCGCTGCATTTAAAAAAATCATAAAAACAATGAGAGCTACATGTAAGTTCACGCACGTGGGTTTACAGTTGATTTATCAAAAAATGTGATCAAAAATAAGGTAATATCATAATTTGCAAGGCAATATACACGATGTAGGGTAGCGCGCCCAGTATTCGGTCCATTCCCAGTATTCGGTCAGACAGCCGTTTCAACAGCTGTAACAATTTAAAAAATAATTAATGAGCCGCGAAACTTGCACAAATCAGGCAGCTGAACAACTTTTCTTAACTCTCAAAATTAAATCAGATATAGGGCCCCGGAAAGATCTCTAACTTAGCTCGAAATTGGTCAGTGTCGCACCACTTTCTGCACTTCCGCGTTCTGTTAGCACATGCGCTAACATGCATAGCCATATGTAGAAGTCTATTGCAAAACAACTTTGTGTGCTGTTGCAATGAATTTAGTATGTGTGTGAAGAGGAGCTCTTCCGTGTTCGCTCCATCGCAGCGAATTTGCAAATGACGCACTTGCCGATGTGCAAGAGGTATTTATACGATACCCTTGCCATGCGGTATCGCTCGTCCAGTATTCGGTCAACGCATCGACAATCAGTGCTTTATCGCGCAAATGTGTGAAAATAGCGCGCAAATACGCTTCGCTCCTTTGCAACGGAGATTCCACGCACAAATCGCGTGACTGAATTCTAATCGGCGCGACCGAATTCTGGGCAGAAAAATGCTCCGTCTTCTTTCGGAAATATTTTTCTTATCATCATTCTTTATTTTAAGTGACTATAAAATCCTGTTAGAGGAATATTTTTCCGTTCTTTTGATGGGTAGATTGCAAAATAAAAGAGGTAAGAATTCAAAATATTAGTGATTTCCCCTTAAGTGACCGAATACTGGGCACTCTACCCTAACATACAATCAGTTGGTACCACTTTTTACTTACAATTTTGAGGAAATCTGCTCTCAAATTGAAGATTTTCAGACCCTAATAATATCGGTAAGTTGACATTTTTTCGGAACGGACGCAAAAGATTGCAAAATTTGCTGATCTTTTGTCTATATCTTCACAATTTCGTACCCAATTCCAAAGAAAATTTCATCATTGTGTAATTTTGTGTTCCTCTTTCCATTGGCATTGCATTGGTGATTTCAGATTTTCAAAATCTTACTGATTTTTTGAGATAGCGAACTTAGGTCACGCAAACTTTGTTTGGTCACACCACCATACTAAAAATGTGAGGGGTAGAAGCGAAGTAAGATTAGAAACGCATGATGCGAGGCCGCTTTTAGTAGCGAGTACACTGGCAAAATTTTGCTTAACCCCGTACTATAGGTGGGGTTAAGGGGGGGGGGGGGTCTTGGCCCCACCTATAGTACGGGGTTAAGCCTATTCCACTTTCTGTTCAGACTCGTATTTACCAACGTGGGCTAACCCCCGGCCCTCCTCAGTACGGGGTGAACTAACCCTGCAAAATATCAGGGCTATCTACGCAATTGTGGCGCTAACTCCTTCTAACCCCGCAATTGCGGTGCCAAGCAAAAGAATGAGAACAGAAACGAAAAATAGTCCAGTACTACGCAATGGAGCATATCGCAGCTGGCCAGATGCGAAGTAAGGAGCACACTGTCTAATCATATAGTCCGGGGCTAAGAATTGCAGTGAGAACAGCATGAATTTTCTTATTCCAGAATAGGCGCTAGTACATGCGGGCTGCCATTTTGGATTATAACGCATACCTACATTATAATCCAAGATGGCGACCCGCATGTTTTGCCTCTGCTCTTAGACCAATATCATTACTTTCAAAGTCTTGAAAAGGCACTAAATATCAACAAACATGGTCTACAACAACTCCAAATGACAAAATAATCCCAGCCATGAATTTTTTTTGAGCATTTGACAGCCAAAAACTTGAAAATTTTTGTCATTAAAAAAAAAAAAGCTGATTTTTTTGGTCGATCTTCCGATCCGATACCAATCAAAGGTGCGTGGGTGTCGCTCCGATCTTCCGATCCGATCAGAGCCCCAACTTACAGGGTTATGTAAAAATACATTTTCTTCCAAGCACCAGTAAAAACTTTGGCTTCACATCAGAATGCACACAACTATATTTAGGTCACTGCCTTGAAATGGTTTTCCAAAAAAATAGTCATGAATAATTGAATATACATTAAGTCTTGGGGAGGCGATACATGTAGGTGCTCTACTAAAAAAAGGTCCAATGGGGATGGTTTTCATTAGTTGGACTAGGAACAGTTTTTAAAGTGGTCGGGTTCGGATATGGAGAGTATCATCATTCTGACCCATTTCCAAACGTTCCGTTTATGTATCTCCTAAAAGAATAATTGGTTACAATACAAGTGGCATTGTGTTTAAAAGGCTTTATTTCCCACGGAATCCCTATTCATGCAGAGTCAGTAACATTTTAATCCTTACCAATTTATATATTTTAGATGAACCAGTGAACAGCAGGGAGGAGCAGCCAAAGGTTCAAATTGAAAGTGGATTTGAGATTTACCTTATCAAAGAAGAAGAGATAGAAGAAACTTCACTTCAACAGAATGGTGAGAAAGTTATATTTTACAATTAGGCACAGGGAGGCCTGAATAGAAAACATGTGAAGAGAGAACCGCTTTGGAAATTTTAAAGTTAAGTGACAATCATGTAATATTAGATTGGAATAGAGGAGATGAAATGGCAACACCAATAAATAAAACAAATTGAAAAATACATTTATAGTTGGAGTGGAACTAGGAAGTTACAGGTTTTTGCTCTGTTTTTGACTTGCATTTACAAAAAAGGGGCAATAAAGATGTTGTCTTTTTTAAATTTTGCAGTAATACCAATTAAAATGTAGAAGAAAAAAGAACAGTTATCATTCAGCCAGTTTGTAGTTACAATTTGTGCATGTGCAGTAAAGGTCATTTGTGCCAATTGCAAATTGCCTGTATAGTGTATGGGCTATGGTGGACACATCAGTATGAATTACATTGTTAAACAGGTAGCATGTCCATCAAAACAGATGCACATACACACACTGTTTCAGATCTTTTGTACCCCCCACTAATTAGAAACTACTTTTGATATCTATAATTTATCTGATTGCATATATGTACATATATGTCTTCCTTTTTCACCAGATGTTTGTTGCAGCTCTAAAAACGCTTCAGATGATTTGGACTGTCAGGAGAAGATATCAGAAGCCCAGTTATCAGAGGATGGATGTTTAGAGGTTGACAGCGAGGGAGCATCTGAAGGAGAACATTTAGAGAAGGAAGATCATGAGGATTCTGAATCGGGATGGCTTCCCGTTTTAGAAGGTATCTCTCCCGTCTCTCAAGACTCCAGCCAAGTTCTACCCAGCATGGAGAACAGTAGCCAGAGTGAAAGAGAGCTAGATGAATCCATGAATGATCCAACAAATTCTCCTCCTACCCGTGATGAAGATTCTACAGGGAAACAGGGATTTGACTGCACCAAGTGTAAAAAGAGATTTTCTGTTGAATCTGATCTTGGATCTCATGTGATGACGTGCTGTGGAAACCTATCTACTCAATGTCCAGTCTGCAAGAAGATTTTCACGTCAAAGCCGAATCTAGGAAAGCACATGAGACTTCATACTGGGGAGAAACCATTTGAATGTGGTGAATGTGGAATGAGATTTACTCAGAAGCCACATCTAGTTTACCACCACAGAACACATACGGGTGAAAAACCCTTTAAGTGCACAGAATGTGGTAAAGGTTTTATCACAAAGTCTGTCCTAAAAGATCATTTTAGAAGACATGGAGGTAACGAACCTTTTCAATGCTCTTATTGTGACAGGAAACTGAATTCCAAGAATCATCTCATGGGACATGAGAGAACGCATACTGGTGAGAGACCTCATCCTTGCTCTTCATGCAGTAAACGATTTTCAAGAAAATATCAACTTATGGTTCATGAAAGAATACACTCTGGTGAAAAACCCTTTCAGTGCACAGAATGTGGTAAAGGTTTTATCACAAAGACTGTCCTAAAAGATCATTTTAGAAGACATGGAGGTAACGAACCTTTTCAATGCTCTTATTGTAACAGGAAACTGAATTCCAAGACTCATCTCATGAGACATATGAGAACACATACTGGTGAGAAACCCTTTAAGTGCTCAGAATGTGGTAAAGGATTTTCCCAAAGAAGTCACCTAACAATGCACTTGAGAAAACATGGAGGTAATGAACCTTTTCAATGCTCTTATTGTAACAGGAAACTGAATTTCAAGAGTGAATTCATTAACCATGAGAGAACGCATACTGGTGAGAAACCTTATCCTTGCTCTTCATGCAGTAAACGATATTCAAGAAAAGATCACCTTTTGATTCATGAAAGAAAAGTACACCTGAAAGCAAAGAGTCCCGAAACGTCCAAAGACTCTAACGATAACAGTGCTGTGTCTTTTCAAAAGGACCTTGATAAACAGAAGACATGCAGTGATAAGAGTTCTTATCAATGTCCTGAGTGCAATGAGAAATTTAAAACAAAGATGAGTTTCACGAAACACATGAAAGAGCATACAGGAGATAAGATCTATCAATGCGGTGAATGCAAGAAGGGTTTCACTTCAGAGTCTGGTCTCAAACGTCATATGAGAATACACACAGGTGAACGGCCCTTTCAATGCTCTCAATGTTATAAGCAGTTTGTTTCAAAGAAGCAATTCAAGTTGCATACGCTAAGACACAAAAGGGCAACACTCTCATGTAGCTATTGTGATGTGAAGTTTTTGGCACGAGGCGATCTTAATCGACACATCCGCACACATACAGGGGAGAAGCCCTTCCAGTGTGATATATGTAAGAAAAGATTCAACAGAAATTCTGATGTTAATAAGCATCTGCAGAAGGCAAAGGCATCCGGTCAGGGTCCATACCCATGTGCAGATTGTGATGAGATATTTTGTTTGAAGGTTGGTTTAACAAACCATATGATAACGCACATCCAACCAATGCCTTATCAATGTTCTGAATGCTTGCAAAAGTTCAAAAGCTCGTCAGAATTAGAGTCACATGATATGAATAAACACAAAGGAAAAAGGATCCAATTCTTGTCTAATTTGTAAAGAGACATTTTTGTCCCAAGATTACCTTAGTGTACATATGCAAATTCACTCTGATGAGAAACCATACAAATGTTCTGAATGTAGAAAGAGGTTTAGTTTGAAGGAATACCTTGACACACATAAGATAATACATTCAGCCATAAAGCCTTTTGAGTGCAATGAATGTGACGAGAGGTTCCATCGCAATCAAGCTCTGAAAAAGCATATGATGAGACACGCAGGAAACGAGCCATATCCTTGTTCTGAATGTAATGTAAGATGTCTATCCAAGCCTGGTCTTGTGCGGCATATGGCTACACATAGTGGTACAAAAGACCACCAGTGTTGCAAATGTGGGAAAATGTTTGCTAGACCACATGATCTCCGCAAGCATGAACAATCACATGAGGAAGAACCTGAGACTTATTTGTGTTTTATATGTGGCCAGACGTTCGATCATAAGAAAAATTACCATGCTCATATTGGTACGCATACGAGAAGACAGCATGGTGGACGTCCAACATGCAAAGCAAAAGACTCTTCCGAAACCTCTCATTTGTTGAACACATCCGATGGGCGTATTAGCTCACCTACAAGATTCCTTGAATGTTCTGAATGTCAGAAGTGTTTTTCTAGGCGAAGTAGTCTTACAAGGCATATGAAAAGCCATATGAGCGCAAGGCCTTCTACTGTAACTCATTGAAGACTTGCTCTAGGCATATGAAAAGCCATATGAGCGTAAGGCCTTCTACTTTAACTCACTGAAGACTTGCTCTAGGCATATGAAAACTCATATGAGCGTAAGGCCTTCTACTGTAACTCACTGAAGACTTGCTCTAGGCATATGAAAACTCATATGAGCGTAAGGCCTTCTACTGTAACTCACTGAAGACTTGCTCTAGGCATATGAAAACTCATATGAGCATAAGGCCTTCTACTGTAACTCACTGAAGACTTGCTCTAGGCATATGAAAACTCATATGAGCGTAAGGCCTTCTACTGTAACTCACTGAAGACTTGCTCTAGGCATATATGGAAACTCATATGAGCGTAAGGCCTTCTACTGTAACTCACTGAAGACTTGCTCTAGGCATATGAAAACTCATATGAGCGTAAGGCCTTCTACTGTAACTCACTGAAGACTTGCTCTAGGCATATATGAAAACTCATATGAGCGTAAGACCTTCTACTGTAACTCACTGAAGACTTGCTCTAGGCATATGAAAACTCATATGAGCGTAAGGCCTTCTACTGTAACTCTCTGAAGACTTGCTCTAGGCATATGAAAACTCATATGAGCGTAAGGCCTTCTACTGTAACTCTCTGAAGACTTGCTCTAGGCATATGAAAACCCAAATGAGCCGCTCAAATATGATTGAAAATACTCCCTTGTCGTCCAAAGAATATAAATTACACACCATTCCAGTTAACATCTGTTATACTAGATAGCCTTAATTACACTTTCCTATATATAAGGGTTCTTAATAGTGCCTTGTTTGTTTCTTGAACTGGCCAGCCTTCCATCATTTGACCATCTATTGTAGTTGATATAACCAGCAGAAAATGACCAGGAGTAAAATATGCTAATTACACTCTTTGCAATTGATATTGCGTGGCAAGCTGTAGACCTATCGCACCTTTGTATCTTTAAGACTTGTCTAATATATACATGTATGTTTATTGTATAGTAATGCAAATGTTGTTTGATATCAATAATCTAATGGTGCTAGCAAAGTAATAATCATGGTAATAATAATGAAATTAATCATTGCAGATATGTATCTTAAGAATTTCAGTCATGTTAGTTGATTAATTACCAATCAATTGCTTTTCCGTCAATGAAGCGATCAACTGTGTCTTGATGTACAGTCTATCTATGTAACCTATAGATACGGTAGCTTATAGCAAAATTTAGTGGCACAAAAAGATGAATGCAGAAGGCACAATAGTTTAATAGTGGGTGTTTGTGAATTGAAAATTCTTATTTGATGTATGTGAATGAAGTCTAATTATAATAATTATAATAATATGTCTTGTTTACCCAGGGTAGCCTCATCAGTATTCATACTGTTCTCCCTGAGGGCCCTGCAAGCACCATAGTAGTACATTTACAAGATCCCTATCCTGTAGATGTGGTTATATATAATATTTTTGTGATATAGTAGGGATTTCCAGCAATTATGCATTTGAGATTTTTGAGTTCTGGATGTGTCTCTTCATGCCACTACATGTACCTAATGATATAGCAGATATCTGTATGAACAATTTCAATCATTTTTAATAAAATTAAATGACCAAAATTTAAAGGTGTCTTGCAAATTTTGTTGAAAATTTAAGGAGATGTAAGTCGATTCTCTGTTTTTGTTTCAGTTCGTTTTTCACTTTATTTTATTTTACTTTGTTCTAATTTATTTTGTATTTTTCTTTAATAGAGAAAAAAAAAGAGAAGACAACAAAAGTAGAGGAGCAAAAAGAAGAAGTCTGTGAAGAAGAAAAGTGGGAGAAGGAGAAAGAGAAGAAAATTAACGGGAGATATAGAGAAGAGAAGGGGGAGAAGGAGAAAGAGAAGAAAAGGGGGAGAAGGAGAAAGAGAAGAAAAGTGGGAGAAGGAGAAAGAGAAGAAAACGGGGAGAAGGAGAAAGAGAAGAAAACGGGGAGAAGGAGAAAGAGAAGAAAACGGGGAGAAGGAGAAAGAGAAGAACACGGGGAGAAGGAGAAAGAGAAGAAAACAGGGAGAAGGAAAAAGAGAAGAAAACGGGGAGAAGGAGAAAGAGAAGAAAACGGGGAGAAGGAGGAAGAGAAGAAAACGGGGAGAAGGAGAAAGAGAAGAAAACGGAGAGAAGGAAAAGAGAAGAAAACAGGGAGAAGGAGAAAGAGAAGAACACGGGGAGAAGGAGAAAGAGAAGAAAACAGGGAGAAGGAAAAGAGAAGAAAACGGGGAGAAGGAGAAAGAGAAGAAAACGGGGAGAAGGAGAAAGAGAAGAAAACGGGGAGAAGGAGAAAGAGAAGAAAACGGGGAGAAGGAGAAAGAAGAAAACAGGGAGAAGGAGAAAGAGAAGAAAACGGGGAGAAGGAGAAAGAGAAGAAAACGGGGAGAAGGAAAAAGAAAAGAAAACGGGGAGAAGGAGAAAGAGAAGAAAACGGGGAGAAGGAGAAAGAGAGGGGGGGAAACCCCCACATTGAAGCATTTGAGCCCACTTTTATTTATTCCGTTGTCCAATGTGGCCTTTGTGCAGTACATTTACGATAAATTGGCACAAATCGCGGCTGATTGCAATCACATTTGATGAAGTTGACTGAAACAACAATAATTGATGTGAATCTTGTCTTTAAAATGGTCCTTTTTTTTAATAAAGAAATAAAGGGCAAGGATTGTGCTCTATTTTATCAATATCTGTTGTAATACTGGCTTTAGTCTTTCAAATGTCATGTAGATTGTCTTCTTATTAACGTACATGTATGTATTAACAAAGAGTTTCATATTACACATATTCCTGTTACATACAGAGTGTGCAGTATATCACATGAAATATGAATTGGTTTGGTGTGCAGTGGGAACTGGATGACATATTTTGGTAGTCCTATAAACATACATGTCATGTGAGGTTAATCCTTTCTCTCTGAAATCTCTCTGGTAGCCTGATTTCTTAACCACTCCTTAATATTTTTAACAAAAAATAGTTTGCATGTCTCTATATTTCCATCACACACAAAATGTAAAAAAAACTCTCTTGATGCTGAAAAGTAGACTATTACAATTTCTGTACATGTGCATAGGTTATATTCTATCGCAGATGTTGTATATTTATTCTACTTGCCATCTTCCTCATAAATCATTCTATGACAAAGAGTGTTGATGCACAGTACAGTTATACCTCAGTCTCCTATCCTCTTACAAATTGTACTCATGACTGTGTAGTACGTTGCATTGAGTTTCTATTTGGTCCCAGGATACTCTAAAGCAGTAGCTCTCAAACCTTTTCTGGACAATCCAGGGCCCGGCAAATTATGTTGTGGCTTTTTTTAAAACTTGCATTAACGACTGATGAAATGATGCCTACCAACTGAGATTTATTCTAGTAATAAAGGTCTTGTACCATAATCTTTCTTCTTTCTTTTTACTCTTCAATAATCCCTCCCCCCCCCCCCCCCCTCTCTCTCTCTCTCTCTCTCTCTCTCTTTTATCTTTATCTTTCTCTCTCTCTTTCTTCCTCTCTCTTTCTTCATTCCTCTTTCACTCCCCCCCCCCCTCCCTCTTTCCAACTAATTAACTCACTAAATTTTATCTTAATCTTTTCCTTTTTTTAAACATTTACAGTATTCTCTCCAGTCATTTTCATTGGCATCTTCTCAACAACCATATAATAAAGCAATATTCTAGATACACAAATACATTTGCCCTTTCAATAAATTTAATGGATGTCACAAACTTTTACGTAACAATGCATATTTAAAAAATCAATTCAAATTTCAGTTTCACATAATTGTCACAATAGCTTGCAATTCAGCATTCAGTTCCGATTGAATATAATTGAATACAGAATATCAAAATCTTTGTATTCTCACAATGAACATTGCATAAAATGACTAAAAATTTCAAAAACTTTGATTGGTTTAGTACCTGATTATAATCCACCTTAGCCACATAGTACAAATTACTGACTCTTGTCAATCTATATCACATAATACAAACCATTAAAAATTATGGACAACCTATTTTTCAGTACCATGGTTTAGTCTTATCAAAGTTGTTGGGAAATTTTTTGATTGACATTTACTTTATAGAAGTATGTACAGGTGTCTATTATATACTATCGTAAATATGGGATGGGTGTTTAAAGATAATATGTCCCTTTTGCAGCCAACATGTATTATGGACATGTATTATGAACGTGTATTGAACGAACCTGTACATAAAGACCACCTGTCTATAAAGGTAACTTTAGGTCTCCCTTGAGTGGTCTTTATGCAGAGGTTTCAGTGTATAAAAAATAACAGAACAGTTGTAGAAAAATGTGGCTATAACGGCTTGGTCAAAGCAGAGACATATCCATATAGTCAAAGCTTATTTCTTCATGCCATTTTCTCAAATATGGCAGTATTTGAAGAGAAACCTTTATACATTATCTGTGTGGAGCCAGGAGAGCATTAACTCATACCATTTTATAGAATGATCACCCTTTTGACTGCACACAGACATGTTACATTGATACATGTTCTTCTAATTTAAAAGGGTAATAAAAAGGTGGGATAGCTCACGCATAACTACTTTACAAATACGATAAACTTGCTTCAGCGTCTACGCACAATCATTATAATGGTTAAATGCTATATACGGACAAGGCAAGCTAACTGAAAGTCTTTTAAAGATATCACATGTTGTCTTCACATTTATGATTTTGCTTTAAATACCTACTAGCTCCCTTTAAAGATAAACTCCAGTTCTGGTAATGCGATTGCATTGTGAAAGAAAAGGTGTGGAATAGATCAGAAACAGTTGATCATGTAGCATGTATGTATTGGTGTGCACTGCAAGGTTCTGGAGTCATCAAAATCATCATAAATTTGGCCGAGTCTTGGTAAAGTAACAAGCACTGTACACAGAAAGCTATATATGGGACAACACACACGGTGTCAGGGCTAGTACTACCTTGATTTCCTTGTCTTTCTATGCTCATTACTCAGCCAGTATACATTTTCTTCCAAAATTGTTTGGCACATGTCATTTATTTGTAATCTTGAACATTCAGTGTAAGTTCCGTTTGATTCTGTGAGAATTAATTTTCTTCTTTTTACCAGAACTGGAGTTTATCTTTAATAATTACAGGAACGTATGAATACAAACTATGAAAGAAATTTTGAATTTCAATGTCGGGTCTATTTCAGTGTTCAAATTTGTCATAAATGCTACATCATACAATAGTTTAATACAATATAAAACCGTTGTAATTAAATTCAGAGTACTATCAAAAAGTGCTAGGAGATTACAATACCGGTATCAAGATATCTTTTATACTAATTTCCATCATAAATTTGGTCAATTTTAATTTTTCGTCCCATAAAGGCATAATTCTTTGAAAGGCAAAACAAGCTGTAATGGCATAGTAAAAAGGTTAAACACATGAAACACCCTAGTGACATCACTGATTGTTTGTTTTTGAAATATAATGGGCAATAACAACGTGAGCAAAAACATGTAAATTCTTTCCTTTTCCAATCAATTTACAGCAAGATCAAATAGCTACATTATAAACAACTATATACCTGAAAACAAAATAACAAAAAAGAAAATAAAAATGATTTGCACACTATCACTTTTATAATATATGCAAACAAAGTCCAGCTAGTAATGTTTGTATATGTACAGGCATGATGAATTTTGCACATTTATAGTTTATACAATTAACACTTTGGACATCGCGATGTGAATATGGTACATGTACATGAAAATAGGTATAAAACAATGCCACAATAATAGAGTGAGAAAAATGAAGACTGCATTGATGGACTACCATGGCAAATACAATATTATGACGTAAGGAAAATGTTTACACAGCTTGAAAACAATGCCTATATTACAAGTATAACCCTAGCAATATAAAAATAATAGGCATGGTTATTTTAGGTAATAAAGATGAATGACTGGTTTATTGTAATAAATAAATAAATAAACCATGACTAGTCTAGTTCTTGCTCTTTGTTGGCTCCATTCACTAAATGTATTTTATTGTCATGATGTGAATGTAATCTATAATTATTTGGTAATGAGTAAAGGAAACGAAAAAGCAATCTCAAACCTGAAGGTCTAAAGTTGAATCAAGTCAAAAGCTGAAGACTGGAGATGGTGCACATGGTTGTAGTCTACCAAAATATACAATCCCTGTTCAAGGTTCAAGCACCACAATTTGAATTTTCAATAACGACTATATCTCCACCCGTCCGCCCCCCCCCCCCCCAAACGTGTGCAAACATCTTTTCTTACATAGATAGACACAATTATACAACAATTGACAAGACGCAGAAAACAAAATCTTCTTTTTCCAATTTTACATACATATTGTAGAAGTTGAAAAGACCACTTAAACACCAATATGTTATAACACATCAAGATTCAAAATGTTCACAAAAATAGGACAACGTTTGCACCATTTCTCTTTTTCTAAACATGAATACAAAATATGACAAGATGATCTGAGACGGAGGGAGGGAGGGCGTAACGAATACACAGTATGGCACAATAGAGTACTATCGGTATAATAGTCAAGATAAGATTCAGTACTTTACACATGAAAACAGTGGTACAATAAATTATGCAGTTACTAGTAGATTACAGGTATGCTTTCCACAACTAAGTGCTTTAATGTAGAAACATAATTTTCAAATATTCTTCATCAATGTTCCTTCAGTTTTGTTATGGATTACAACACACTGACATGTGTACATTATAAACTACAGACCATACATGTAGGGCTGTAAAAACTCTAGCAATGTCAAACATGACATAAATATAAGCAGATGATGACGGAAAGTTATTTTTGTGCACACAGACCAATCAGCATGGAGAATAAACATGTCATGAACTATATACAGCTGAAGATGACTAGGCACGTCTTCATCATCTCGAGATTGCCAAATAGCCCGCTATTTCTGATTTGGGAAATAATCCCGAAGTAACAAATCGCGTCTTAACTATCTCGAGATTCGACCTCGAAACTTGAAACTTGACCTTGAGAAATTAGCTCGAGATATTTTGCTCAGCGTTAGCGCGTATTGCGAATCTTTGGTCTAGTGAAGACGCATGGGACAAATAGCTGGATATTTTGCCAAATAGTGGGATATTTTGCAAACTATCCTAAGATATCTTGGGATGACAATCCTGACCAAATATCCTTCTAATTGCTACTTCGGTCCGATGAAGATGCAAATTAACTGGATAGTTTGCGATCGGGATAGTTCAAATAGCTGGATATTTGGCAATCTCGAGATAGTGAAGACAGGCCTACTGAGGCCTCTCAATCTCATCCATATGACTGAATGATATGATGAAGGTCATTACATGTACAATAAAACATTGTGTTCAAACCTGAAGGGCATTAGCATGGGAATTCTTTATAAAAACTTGATGTTTTTAGGAATTCCGTTGCTAACAAAGGATGCAACAAGAATGCTAGACCGCATGTATCTAGCTTTTTACAATACAAATTACTTGCTACTTGTTCATGTAAGATTGCCTGACTAAATGTGGACTTGCATACACAAGTGTCCTTCTAGGACTAGTTCTACATGAAACACTAATGTATGCTACATATTGGAACTAAAGTTCCATGAAAGTTTAAATGAAATCTATTACTGACATACGTTTAGTTTTCATATTTGACACAATATTGTGACAAATTTTCTATTCAACAACAGTGTGGCTCTGATACATGTCATTGGAATACTAAGCAATACTTGCAGAATAATAAGTTATACATGTGATGTAGGTAATGCAGCAACAGCAAGATGAAACAATACATGTTGAATGGATGTTCAGTGGCTAGACTCGCCCTTTAGGCCACAACATTGTATGATATTTCCATGAAATCATCCCAAAGATTTATTTTTTCTTCACACTTTACCATAGTTTGTGACTCGTACTAAATTTTCAATTTGAATTACCAAGCAAGGTGTCAATAAACATGACTTTAGTCATGCCTTCCAAGATACGGAAATATGAAGCATATTAACCTTTGCGCCATCAGTTTGTCTGCGTCACATCTGAATGAGGCTTATTGGTGGTTTTGACCCAGATATACAACGTACATTATCAGATACATGTAATATCTGACATGACTACCGTAATAAGGTGTTCTAAGAACTCAAATAAATATGGCCATGCTGCATCAAATGTTTTGGATGGAAGGCAACATGACATTGTAGAGAAAAACCCTGAACTTCCTTCATGCATCTAGAAGTACATATACATTATTTTAAATCGTTTTATGGAAGTGAAATTCACAGGCAACCCCAATGACTAACAATAACAGCATGATCTTCCTTCCACAGAAGCAGACAAGTAACTTTCAACTATGACATGTGTACATGTACTGTATGTCCAGAATCTTCTACAAAACATAAGCGCTCCAACATGCACCAGTGTATCTGAGTCATTCAGTTCTTTTTCCATAAATATTCTCTAGGGTAGCACTTATAGACACACTGAAGACAAGGAGTGGCCAAGGTGTAGCCATCTCTTCTGAGGACATAATGTAACTTGTAACTTGTACATGCAGATGAAACATTCTGAAGACATCAATGACTGTTACTGCAACAACAGCTTCCACTAAACAGCAAAGTGATTCTGTAACTTGTCTGAGTTTGTAAAGCAGCATCTTGAAGGATCTAGATCAGACTGACGTCTCTGACTGAAGGCGCAACGCAAAGCGGTTCTTCTTGTAGTCAAAGACCTCTTCCCTGATCTTGTACTGTGGTATCTTCATGACAAAGACCTGGAGCAGGACCTCACCCTGCCTGAGTTGAAAGGTTGTGCCCTCCTTGAGAGGGCGGTTTACTAAGGTGTCTGAGACCAGCTCCCAACCCTGGATAGGGTTATGGTGGTGCTCCGACAGCAGGATGTTGGGACCAGGCTGAAAGAAGGTCTCCAGGAAGGATCGTGGAGCCAGGTTGTAACTGATACAGACAGCCAGATGATCCATCACAGCTTCCATAGGCCATCTGGGTTGCTGCCGAGTGATGCGTAGGTACTTCTGCAGAGGGCGGGCTAACGATGGAAAGATGGACTGTGCCGCTTCCGTTGGATCCATCGCATGGTTGCCTGGATGCGTGTCTTCATGGACACGCTTGATGTGCGTGAAAGCTTCCTCAGCTGCAACAAGCAACCTTGCCCTGCGCTTTTTGACACGCCTGTCGTATTCCTGCTCTTCGTAAAACCTCTCGTTTCGGCTCTGGTCACGCCGATGTGCAGCAGTGGTCATTATGGCTCGCGAATGACCAGTAACATTATCATTACCAACGCCACCATCTACATCATAAAACTTAAAGTTACTTAGCTTCTGAGCCACGCGCGATGTCGTCGGCACGCGGAGAAGGTGAGAATTGTAAATTTGAAAGTCACGAGAATAGTGTTCCAGGACATGAGCGGCTGAGCGCTGGATGCTTAGCTGACCTATCGAGTAGTACTGGCTCATCCCATCTGGAGAGCGAACAACTTTCAGCATATATTTAGGCTGGAGGTGTCGCAACTCAAACATAATTACAGCTACATAATGCATGAAGAGGAGGGCATCGGCCAATGACCCAGCGTACGAGACAATCCCTGCATAGTTTGTCTCTTTGCGCATCAAGACGCGCATGACGAAGAAGAGCCAGTATGCCAGAAGCAAAATAAAGATGAGCGCCATCATAATGAGGCGAAAGAGGTAGACTCGCGGCATGGTTGCTCTGGGTTTGCGGAAGAAGAGTGCCCAGCTACCGATCGCAAGGATGAGTAACTTGAACGCCATGCTGATGAAGAGTCCGTCACAGTGGATGCCGCATTCGGCTGGTTCCCAAAGAAGACTTGGTAGCACCACAAACGCTACTGGAGACACAAAACCGACTATTGATAAGACGGCAAAAAGGAGGATGGAAAAGTAACGTGTGCAGTCGAAGCCAACCCTTGAATCCATTCTCTTGGCCAGACGAGATAGATCTTCATCAGACGATCGGTCCGATGTCCCGGTAATGGCCGTGGTGTTGTCTCCCCAGTTGTCATCTTGAGGTAGTATCTGGACCTCAATAACCTAAGAAAAACACAAAAAATAGAAATACATTTATAGGTAAAATGAACCATTCTCATTCTAAAACCTTTGTAATAATTTTTCAGAGTGGAATAGTTCTACCAAGACAAATGACTATTCAGTTAAAGAGAAGGTTGAGTTCTGGGAAGAGGTAAAAAATAATTTGTGAGCGTTATCATTGTTATTATGCAAGGGTGGAAGAACATCAGATTAAACATGTTCCCTGAAAAGCATGGCTCTTCAAATGCCTTCATATTCTAAATATGACATAAAATACGTAAAAATCGGGGGGTAGGTTTTTTTTCGCCATGTGCTCATGTAGTCCCATATACATCATTCTGTGTACAGTGCTTGTAACTTTGCCAAGCTTTGGCCAAATGTCTCATCATTTTGATGATTCCAGAACCTTGCAATACACACGAATACTGATATACTAGATGATCAACCTTTTCTGATAGATTCCACACCGTTTCTTTCACAATGCAATCACATGACCAGAACTCAACTTTATCTTTAAACAGTGTAGAGTCATGTAATTTCAATGTTATTTCTTATTGTGCTTGGAAGCGGTCACAATGCCTTGCATGATGGGATACTAATGAATTGATTCTTCGACATGGCTATGAAAGTAATTGATTTGCTATTCAATTTGTCCTAGAACAAAAAATCTCTGAAAGTGTATAGGAAATACGCTTAAAGGTAAAGACCAGTATTGGAAACGCCCCAATTTCAAAAAATGAAATGGAAGCTCTTATTACCAATCATGTGAAAGAATATGTTTTGAATAGTACATGACGATAAAAATTTTGACAGGAAACCGCCTACTAATTGATATATTTGGTAAATTAATATATCTATATACTGTTGAGAGATACAAATGCACATGTCGCGCATGTGTGTGTAGTCCCATATACATCTTTCTGTGTACAGTGCTTCTAACTTTATGAAGACTTGGCCAAATTTCTTATAATTTTGATGATTCCAGAACCTTGCAGTACATCTATGCTAGATGATCAACCTTTTCTGATCGATTTCACGTTTCTTTCACTATGCAATTGCATGACCATAACTGGTCGTTAGCTTTAACGTCAGTAAACACACACAGAATGTATACTTTCAATTTTGAAAATGTGTCATCTATTCACAATGTAACTAGTACAAATAACCCCAAGTTATATCAGGCCATTCTTTCCTACTGCAGCAATCACTTGGTTAAAACCTGGCTTACTGGTGAAAATCTGGGTCATGGAGACCCCCCCCCCCCCCCCCCCCCCCCCCCCCCCTCTCCTCCTCCTGCCCCTAAGAAGGAAGGTTTTGGTTTTCCCTTTCAGATAATGATATAATATTCAAAGTGAATGCGCAGCACATAAATGAAACCATAGGAATATTAGGTCCATAACATGTACATGTAAGCCTACATGTATGCAAATAACAAAGAGTAAAATGGACTAGAAAGAAAAAGACTGACAGTAACTTGATATGAGAGGATGAAAGCTATGTAAATTTAGACATAAACATTCCCAATGCAATTAGGAGAAGAGGACTTCAATCTATGCTAAGACTTTCACTAACTCTCTAAGGGAAGGCAACTTTATTATCACTCGCGTTCGTCCGGGTTCGGGACGCCTACTTATCTCTTAATCCCCCGTTCCCGGACGCGTATTGTACGCTGGCGGTCCCTTGGCGTCCCTTGCTCGCGTCTATTGTTGTCTGTTGGACAATAGAGCAGGCAGCCAGAAAAGAAGCCATCCCGTCCGCTAGGACCGCTGTCAATGAACCTCACCGCTATCCAGCCCCTCTCTAATCCTTACTAATCTGGCGTCCCCTGACAATAGCTGACCCGTCTAGAACGCGTTAATCTGGTGTTCCCTGACAATAAAGTTGCACCCGTCTAGCTCGTGTTTAAAATACAAGATAGTAAATTTTCATAGATGAATTTTCAGTCTTGAAAGCAGAGCTAGAGCTGCAATCCTCCCGTGTTGATTGATAATAATTTGTCTACAAAATGTGTCGCGCGCTAAAATAATAAACCTAACCAGCAACGCCTCAAGTCTTTCTACATACAGCCGCATATGAATAAAAGCTTCTTGTGCGACACTGCAAATATATAAATCATATTTAGTAGTGTCTGTATTCCCCCAACCTATTAATCAGTACTGCATTGCGTGTATCAGCAGTTCGCGCAAATCAAAACATGTGGATAGCGGTCACGTGACCTAAAATGCGGTCACGTGATCTAAACCCTACAGCGCTATGGAACGCCATCGCCGCCATATATCGCAAGCGAGCTTGCGTTACTGGTTAGTAGCTTACGGTAGTTAGTTGTAGTGCTTGCGTTACTGAGTAGTAGCTTGCGGTAGTTAGTTGTAGTGCTTGCGTTAGTTGATCGGCCAATTACTGTGCAGGATTATCGTTTACGTACACAAAACGGGAAATACAGTACCGCATGTTAAACATGTGTACGTATATTTAACTCTGGCGAACCAGAGCACTTGTTATAGCGGGCCGTCGGGTAGCCTTTTCGGCCGTGTCGCGAATTTTGTTATGCAAAGGTACACGATCGAGGCGAGTATGTGTCAGTGTTACAGTATAGTTCGTACTATTTAGTCCTTATAAGACTGGTCTGTATCTTTTAATCATACTTTATCACTTCTCAAATGGGAAAATTCTGGCATTTTACTCTCTGAAAAGTTTACAGTTTGAACACCAAAAAGGGAAACAGATGTGGCGCGGGACGGAGCTAGAATTGTATGGGGCATCTTAGATAGCCCGACTTGGCCTGTCAATTCATTATATATATTTTTTAATACGTCTTGTCGCAAGCATTGAGGGGGTGGGGGAGGGGCTCAGGCTGTTTTGCAATTTAGGGCGTGGGCTGAAAGGGAACTAAAAGGAATTGATTGGGAGTAGGTCTATTTTTAATATTTTTTGTTTTATTTAGGCCTTTTTGTTAAATATTTTATTCCTAGGCAAGATATAAAACAGACATTGAGAAATGATTGATTGAAGATATTACGTAGAATCAAAGTACAATATGAAGGAAAAATGAAGAGTAAACCAGCCAATGCATGAGGATGGCCAAATAATTCTTGAATTCTGTCAAGATGTTATCTGTGTCGGCTGGTGCACGCAAATTGAACAAATCTAGTACATAAGGGAATAACAATAATAATGATTATTTACATCCAGAAGCCTTATACTTTTATACTGAAAAAGAAGAAAAGAAAAGATAATTTTCATTTATATAACAGTTCTTATCAAGTATATAAAGCTACATAAGGAGATCGAATTTCAGTGTGTGAGTATAATCTTGTGTGTGAGAAAATGAGCTAAAAATGGGGTTTTTAAATGGATACTTGGGTTTTAGTATAAAAGGCGCTACAGATTTTATTTTTTTTGTGAGATAATAAAACATACTTGATACTAGCTTTAGAATTCAAACATTTTAATCCTTTATTTTGTAACGTTGCTAGTACAGTCAAGATATGAAAAAAAAGGGGTCAACCTAAAACTAATTGCAACAGAAACGATTCCACTTGAATATTATCTGGAAAAGACATAAAAATAACATACTAAAAGTTGACAAAAATTGTAGTGGTGGATCAGTGCCTAATTTGCATAAATTCAAAATGGCCGCCATGTCGGACCCTGGTAGACACACAAAACCTATTTTAGCCTATATCTCTAGATCTGATACACATAGAAAGCTAAACGTAGTGTCTTTACCAATGTTTTTGGGGTCAAGGAACATGATTATAGCATTATAAGCAGCTTACAACTACTCTTTCACTCTTAATTTGCATAAATTTGCATATAATTAACCCTTTTAAAAGTCAAAATGGCTGCCATGTTGCATGTTTAAAACTATTTCTCATCTGATACTTATAGAAAGTTGATTTTAGTGCCCTTATCCATGTTTAGGGGGTCAAGGAACATAATTATAGCATTATCAGCAGCTTAGAACTACTCCTTGACTCCTAATTTGCATAAATTTGCATATAGTTAACCCCTTTTAAATTCTAAATGGCTGCCATTTTTTCATTTTTAAAACTATATCTCTAGATCTGAGACACATAGAAAGCTAAACAAAGTGTCTTTACCGAAGTTTTGGGGGTCAAGGAACAAGATAATAGCATTATAAGCAGCTTACAACTACTCCTTGACTCCTAATTTGCATAAATTTGCATATAATTAACCCTTTTTAAAGTCAAAATGGCTGCCATGTTGCATGTTTAAAACTTTTTCTCATCTCATACTTATAGAAAGTTGATTTTAGTGCCCTTTTCCATATTTAGGGGGTCAAGGAACATAATTATAGCATTATCAGCAGCTTAGAACTACTCCTTGACTCCTAATTTGCATAAATTTGCATATAGTTAACCCCTTTTAAATTCTAAATGGCTGCCATTTTTTCATTTTTAAAACTATATCTCTAGATCTGAGACACATAGAAAGCTAAACGAAGTGTCTTTACCGAAGTTTTGGGGGTCAAGGAACAAGATAATAGCATTATAAGCAGCTTAGAACTACTCCTTGACTCCTTATTTGCATAAATTTGCATATAATCAACCCCTTTTAAATTCTAAATGGCTGCCATTTGTTCATGTTTAAAACTATATCTCTAGATCTGAGACACATAGAAAGCTTAACGAAGTGTCTTTACCGATGTTTTGGGGGTCAAGGAACAAGATAATAGCATTATCAGCAGCTTACAACTACTCCTTGACTCCTAATTTGCATAAATTTGCATACAATTAACCCTTTTTAAAAGTCAAATTGGCTGCCATAATGTTGCATGTTTAAAACTATTTCTCATCTGATACTTATAGAAAGTGATTTTAGTGCCCTTATTCATGTTTAGGGGTCAAGGAACATATGAGCAATGATTATATAATTAAGGTGCATGTATGATTAAATATTTTCTTTAGAGTAGCTCACAATATACGTCACGGTGTTGCCAATTTATGTTTGCTTGATTACAACTTCAAAAATTCATAATTTTC